GAGGGACACTACCAAAAAATCCAAACCCAAGTTGTCTTTTTAATGGTACTTAACCTGTTTGCTGTTTGTATTGACACATTCATGCGAGTGAAATAGGAAACGTAACTGTTGAGAAAAATAGATGTGCAAATCTGTTTGTAAATTAGTAAGTTACTATTTTAAGTAGCTACATTAGAGTTTTAGCCTGTTGTTTTTGCAGCTTATTTCAGTTTTGCCTTGTTTCTTTGTTTTGGAGCCAAGCAATGTGATATGACCATTCGTTTTTCAGAAATGGGTGAGCTAGTCAAGCAAAATAGCCACAAAACCATGTTTCATGGGAATCTCTCTGTGGACAAAACCCCATAAATGGACAACAGTGTATCTATTTTCATCGAGAAACCCACCCATATGTGTTGGATGTAACATTATGGATAAAATGCAGCCATCTTAATAGTAGGGCAAAATCTTATCTGCATAGTGATGTATTCCTCATCACCATACCTGTAAATACTTCTGTTGTATCAATTTTTTTTAAACTTAGAGCTTCATAAAATCTTTAAGGATCACAGATGACAGATGCTTTTTAGAGCCACTCTTTTTCAGGCCATATTAAGATACTGATTTTTTTTTTATATAGTATTGTATTAATGACAGTATAGAGCAACCTATATGGTTTCTTGGTTCCTTTATTTGTTTATTGCTTAGGTCTCTCACTGAAGTCTCAAGTAAATCTGATCCTGCTGAGTGTGAGATCTGGTTGGATCACACCTGGCAATTTGTCGCCTGTTTCTAGATGGCCAATAAAGTTTTCACAATCAGATAGTGTTGTAAGGAAATCTGGGAAATCATAAACTGAAAGCTGAGAAAGAAAACATGTGCACGTACGCATTTTTTTTTTTTGAGAAAAGTGCTTCACAGGCTTTGTTTTACTAGTTAAAAAGCTCTTTAAATAGCTGTTGCAATAGATAATCTTGGTGAAGGGGAAGTTTATTTTAGTCTATTATGAGTTGATTAGAAAATCAACTTTAGCTGAATCAATTTGCATTGCCTTCAAATGAAATAAGAATATAAGTATAGATATTTAAATTATGCTATATAAATAGAGGTGAAAACCATATATTTTTGGGGTGCAGAGTAAGACTTTTTTATAAACTCAGTCTTACTCTTCAGCCAGAGAATTTACTATTTAAAAAAGTTTGGGCATTCTATTAACAATTAATAACTACCAAGTTCTGCAATTGCAGGAAGTCTGTTTTACAAATATGGTGAGATTAGTCACAGGATATAAGATATTCTTCTTACTTCTTTCTAGGATCCTTTATATTATCTCTTTATTGTTTCTTATAAGAGCACATTTTTTAAGTTAATACCTTGGAAAAACGATGACTTATTCTGGTGATTCACCTTGAGGTTTGATGAGAAGCAGGCTAGCTGCTTCTTTTCTATCACCTATAACTCCTTGCTTTACAAAAGTCTTCTTGGTACCAAAGGACCACAAAATCAAAAAACTGGTTTAAAACATTCAGATTTCTGATTTTAGCAACTTTCTGACTGCTGTGTCAGATTCCGTCACTATTAAAGTTATTGCTGAAAGATTGGATTTGCATTCCTATTTTCTGAAACAGATTTATCTCTTGGTTGTGTAGCTGGAGTTCAGTATATGAAAGTGAAGACACTTCTAGTCTTAATATCTTCTATAATCAGATTTTTTAAAACTTCTATTATTCTTTTCAATGCAAAGGAAAGGAATTTTCTATTTTGCTTTTTCTTGTGTTAAGGTATTTAGTGGCATAGGTCCTGTGTCCCAGAAGATCCCAGATAGAATACCTGTATTTCAGATTTTCCTTTGGAGTAGGATGTTTTATGCAAAACTTGTAAAGCTGGATATAAAATGGGATAAGTCAAGCTAAGACTCTAAACAAATGTTCTATTTTTCCTTCAGGGAGAGAGGAGAAAGGCATACGCTTTTGTCAGCACCTGTAAACTGACAGCTAAATAAAAATAGACTGACAATACATATGCAAGAAAGGGGATAAAAATTGCCTCAGCCAAAATGTCTTTACAGGCAATCCTTAAGAGGCCTTTTTGCAAAATGTATGCAACATTGGAAACCGAACAAGCTCCTCCTTCAGGAGCTGAAATTATTTAAGTTACTGTGGAATCACTAAAATATGTAAAGAATAAAATTTGTTTAGAAATAGGAAGCTAAATGTTTACCCAGTCATACTTGGGTCGTGATTTCTAAGGCTTCCTATGTTGTTGGTTCTTAAATAGTAATTCGAAATTAAATAAATGCTGGATACTACACTATGATAATTATTGAGTTTCTGCAGAGACCTACATTCCATTTTTTAGCAGTGTTTTCTATGACTCTGTTTCTCCAGTACTAATTTGTTTATTTTAGAAGGCTTTGTTGTTTATCTTATTTTTATTAAGTAATTTTATTATTATTAATATAAGTAATAGGAGATTTTGGCAACTGGATACACAACAGTCGTGCTGTCTATTTTCTCTTCTTCGTTTATTTTTCTCTTGTTAAAGTCATCAAAATGTTGACAGCTGCATAACTCTCTTTAAAGCTTTCATATCTTGACAGATATTACAGATATTTGTCATTTTACTTACAGTAAGTGACAGCTAAATTAGCTTTATGCTGTATTGGAGGATATCTCAGATGTAGTGAGTCCAGTCAAATTTATATTGCATTTCTTTAATGTGCAGCTGATTTTCGAGTGGTTATTAAGGAGTGAACAGTGAAGTGATACATGAAGAATGTGAAAATCTTGAGCTAGCAGATATTCAAGGTTAACAGATGAGAAATATGTTCTCCTTTTATTACTTCTATCATTTTGGATAGTCTAGTTTTTCCTTCATTTTCACTTCTTATTTCAGCTAGATGTGGGGTTGAAGATCTATACATTAATCCTTCTTTAAAAAATATCCCATTCCCAGCTGAGTATTTAAGGCTGCTAGCAGATAGTGTAGGTGTTTGTAGGTCACAGTGGAAGCTACTCCATGGAACAACGTCACTTCAATATCACTGCATCTACCTACTGTATATTAAGTACAGTTCATTCATTGACTGATTGCAATGTAGAAGTATTTCAGAATGTATACATACATTTCTTTTCAAAAATTTGGGCTAATTTAAGGATGGGAAGAGAACAAACAGAGCTATTGAATGGAAAAAAAAATCTTTTGACTGTCAAGTTACTTATTCAGTAATGTCACTGTATTTTTTTTTTGTGCTATGCATAAATACAAAGCACAATTAAAAAAATTGCAGTGGATCTTTAGACTGAGTGTCTGCAAAAATGCACTTGACAGGAGGGGGAGATGAATTTAAAAAAAGGGAAAAAAAAAGGGAAAAAACTTGTTGCCTTTTATCCAGATAGCTTAATTACGCAACTGAATATTTCTCACAATTGTCTGTTTAAATTGCTGTCAGAAAGGGAAAATTCTGTGGTATGATATTCTCTCATTTTAGTCTGTTCAACGTATTGCTAATGATAGCCAGACTTTCAAATTACTATAAAGGTAACAAAGATGAGTTATGCATGTTCAATGTTTTAACCTACTCTGTTCCATTACTGCTGTCTTACTCCTGGGAATCCCAGTAGGATTTGGACAATTCGTATTTGGAACAAGCCAAGGTTAGCTTGACGTTTCTCAAATCAAAGTAGAGGAAGTGAAACAAGCCACCAGAACTGTAAGAGAATAACTGACTTAACATTGTAATATGCTTTTAATACTTCTTAATACCTTCTGGAAACCTGGAAAGTAGTATTCAAGTCTTGATATTTTTTTTTTTTAATTTTATGTAGGTGCAGCCTTCTCTGAAAATAATTTATGCTTAGGTGGGTTGAAGTTTAAGTTAAGCATAACAGTTTCTCACAGAGGACCACCAAAGCAGGGGCACTGTGTGCGTTTATGCATTTGTATGTGTATGTACCACTTTGCATTCCAAGGAGAGCAAAAGCAAGAGTGTTGAGGGGAAAAAATTATTTTGGGGGATTACTTTGGATACTGTCCTGAATCAGGCATAGAGTTACATCTGTTCTAACTGAAGCTGATGCTAAAACGCCTACTGATCTCTCAGAGAAGAGAGGAAGGTTTACAGCCATTTTACAGAGAACCATGTCTTAAGTAGAACATTGCCTTATATTGTGTTTTAAAGATATTTTCTTTTCTTTCAGTACTACAGACATAGCAGATATGTGGGAGGGAGTAGTATCTAGTGGTCAAGAATTTCTTGAGAAAGTCTTTAAGTGGAAAAAGTGCAGCAAATTGCAGAAGCTAGAATGAAGCTTTCACATTCCCCCTGAAAACAATGTTTGCTTTATAAAAAAAACTATAATGTGTAAGAATTTTTAAGGGATGAGCATATGCTGTAAATGTTTTTAGCTGGTTTACTTCACAGCACTGAAGCTAAGTATTTTGGGTAATCCTGAAGGCCAGTAGGTGCAGCCAGTGATCCTAAGTATCAGTACATACTAGGATTTTATCAGTGTTTTCTTTCTTGTTCTGGAATTGAGAGCTTTCCACAGTCCAGAAAAATTATATAGCTTGTATAGAGCTCTCTAAACCCAATAACTGGCCTATTCTGATTTTATCTGTAACTTTGCTTTGTGTTGAGTACTATTTGTAATGCTGTCATAAGCTATACCAAAGCCTTGATTCGTAGGCTTTAGTGACAAAATAAATATTCCCCAGGAAAACACAAGCAGAACATGCAGATTGTTTAGCATGGGTTAAGCACACCTATCTGAAACATAACCATATTATTATTACATCTTTCAGATTTGGCAGGAACCTTAAGAGTGTGGTATTTCAACAGTGGCTTTATAGAAACTTGCTGCAGAACTGGACAGGATTAATAATGTATGAGATATATCACACTTAGTACAGTATTAAATTCTAGCACTGGAAGGATGCAAACCAGTTCATAACCTTACAAGAACATTGTGCGCTACAGCGATCTTGATAATACTGTACAGTCAAATTAACAATGAATAAATGTTGAACTCTGCTTGCTGTCAGAAATGGTACTCGTGCAGTCTCTTGTCAGTCTTTGTGCATGCTGTCCTGAGCAGCTCACTGGAAAAAAAGATAAAAAGATGTAATGAATTATTCTAGGTATTGAACACATTATAAATAAGGTGTTAAGGATCTTAGTAAGGATGGGCAATTTTGCATGTTTCAGTTCTTGGGTGAGCAGCATGTGTGTATAAGTGCAGGAGTGCTCCCTCCAGAACATCTCTGTTTGTCAAAATTATATTAAAATAGGAGGTTGGAGTAAGTCTTATGCTTAGCTAGTAGGCAATTGATTCAGTATAGTCTTATTCCAGATGTGACATAAAGAGGATGCAAGACCCCAGGGACAGACCTTAACAGGGCTACAGCTTTTACCATAAAGCACATATGGGAACTATCAATCAATAGCTTTCCTTGTGCAGGTTGTGCTTCCTTTGTACTTTTGCACTGCTTTACTGTAGATTTCTGTCACCATTTTTCAGTTGGGTGTATAATGTTTGTCCTCACTATCTTTAATTCCAAGGGTTACCAGCACCCATTCTGAGAAACTTTATCACCTTCTTTTAGGGTGTTTGGTGAATGGATTGGGAAGAGATGGCTCTCCTATCTCTATATAAACTCATATGTCTTCTGTCACTTCCAATTTAAACTCCTGGGGCATCAGAAACTCTTGCTTTACATTTTTTCCCCTAGAAAACAAAACAAAACAAAAGAATGAGACTCTTTCAAGCAGCAGTGAAATGAATTTTGAAATTTAGAACTACTTTTCACTGAATAGAAAGGTTGCAAGAAAAGACTTTGCTTTGACCAATCAGACTGTTGTACTTTGGGAGCAGGGGTGAAAAACTTCAAAAATGTGGTTACTGTAAAGCCTGCATCACTACAAAACTTGGTCTTAGACAATTTTTTTTGGAGGGCAGAAGGAATCCACCATAAGCACAGGAAACAACATATTTATCTCTCTTCTTAGATGTGCAGATGCAGATAGCTTGTGCAGCATGCTTATAGAACATAAAATGTCTCCTACATAGCCTTGCGGGGCTAAAGACTTCACTTTGGCCTTTGAAAGCCCTCCCTGTAAGATGGCTGAATTAAGGACAAGATTTGTCTTTTTGAAAACTCAAACTGAGGCCAAACAAACCAAACACTTCAAAAAGCTTAGTGTCCAGAAGACTGATGTGAATGGTTATTCAATTCGGTCACTTCTGTAAGAAAATGTATTTGGTTTTGAAAAGTAGATTAGCCTTTTTGGAGTGGAAAAATTGTTTGAACAATATAATTATTCTAAAAAATTGTATCTATTAGTTATTGCTGTCTATTGCTGCTAAAGAGGAAGTTTTGTGTATTTGTGTATTATTTTGTATTCTCAAGCCAAGCTGTAACTCTGACAAGTACGAAGAGGTAAAATAGACCTTGAAACAGGAGAGCCTCGTGTAGGGTGATTGAAAGGATTTGTTAGGGTTTCCTTTTTGAAGTGGGAATCAGAAACTGAGAAGAAAGGTGTGTCCTCACAGGTTTGTATTAGGAGGAAAAACAATAGATGTTGTAGTACAAGTTTTAGCAAAATGCATTTACTCCTTGATCAAAATGCAGACCAAGCTAGTAAATGCTTGAAATATTATTGTTAGAGACTCATCTGAATTTTTATTAGGCATTATGAAATATTTGTTTTAACTTTGAAGAGTGCATCAATTAAAAAGAGATGGTGCCTCAGAGAAATGTTTACAATAAATGCCAAATGACTGAGCTGGCCTCTTCTTATTTGAAGTGTTAGTTCTGAGGCAAGGTTATAAAGTATGTTGGTGATGAAATGGACAAAAATTGTTTAGTTCTTGATATCTTTACAGGTAAAAATATATGTACAGGATTGTTGTTGCAGATCCCAATCAAGCCTAAAATAAAGTTTTAGGAAATTCTGTATATACTAAAAATCTGCCTTTCTCAGAGTGATGCATAATGTGAATAGCATGTAAAATCTGGGAAAAGTAGAACAATTTTCACTGTACATGGAGAAAATCAGTCAGTCAGTCATGGGTTTTCCCAACATTTTGAAATGCTGCTTGTCATGGACTTGTGCTGCCAAACTGCCTTTCAGCAGCAAAAGAATAATGCATTTTTATTAAGAACTTTAAAAGAAACTTAAAAATTTAGAGGTTTTTCTCTTTGTTTTTATTAATTCAAAATAGGTCTTAATTTCACTGAGAGGAAAGAATTTTTTATATATATATATATATATATAAATAATGGCAACATTAATTTTGCTTGTCCCTACAGTCTGAAAACTTTTATTTCAATGAACTACTCAGTGAAATCAAGAAACTACTTAGAATAGTCTTTTTTACGAGAATGTACCTGTTTACCTGGTCTCATCCCGAAAGCGCTTTTTTGTTTTCAAAGCTACAGTAACTTAGCAAGTGAAGCTGCCTAATAATGTCTTTTTATGCTGAAATACTGTTTGCTCAGAGACTAAATGCATGTATTTATATGGTTTTTTAATGTTAGTTAATGAGATTTTGTTTTACAACAAGTAACTAATGGTCTGAAACCTCACTGATGTTTGCGTGGAGTGATTGCCATTGGTAGTTTTTCTCTGGAGTAGATCTAAACCATAATTTATGAGATCTTTATGCTTCATCTCCAAGTCATGTTTAGTATCATTGTATTTCTAAATGTTCTTATACCTTAGATTTTGTATTAGTTTTTTTCTTTTTTTTTTTTTTTAATTTTTCTTATGGGTTAGACTAGTCACTTAAATTTCATTCTTTATAGTCTCCTAGAGTTCAAAATAATGCATACTTATCTAGCCAGAAACTAGTTCAGTCCTGCCCTACTTCTGGGATCATTCCTGTACATATAATGATACCAATAAATATAAGGAAATCCTCAGACACTTTTGCTAGAGGCTAAAGACGAATCTACATGAAAGCATTTCTAGAGTCTATATTTTTCTTGTGAGATGATGTAAAACCTTTCATGTTTGCTAGTTGGTTTGTATAAAGGGAGAGTCTCTTAGCTTTCCATGAATCATGTAACTTCTTTTGTCCTGACAACTAAGGGCGTTAAGGCAAATCCTGGGTTTACACTCCAGGCACTGACGCTCTTTTTGGCATGCTGGCAATGGCAGCTGGCTGAGGTCAGGAGCTCAGTGGCTGCAACTGGAATTCTTTGAATGGGATTCTCTTGATGATAGGTCTTTTGTAATGTCTGTATAAAGTGGAATTTTTCTGAAAAAAATATTTGCAGAAGTAGAAAAATAAGAAAGAATAAAGGCAGCTAACAGAAATAGGACTGTGGGGCTATGATGATGATACGAGTTGCAATTATTTTTAACAGAAGTCAAAAGAAGGAAAGAAGTTCTTAATAGATCCTCCCTACTGTAGATCTATTCTGTTGCTTGTATTCAATATACTAATGGTAGGTGTCTTGCCCTCTTGCAGAACATGGAATGCTTGGATCTTGGTAACCAAACCACTAATCTTTGTTCAAGATTTTGGTATCATGGTGTGGTATCCAAAGTTATTGGTAGTAGGTCTTAACAACTCTTGTAGGTAGGAAGCTTCTCAGCTGGCTTTTGGTTTTTCAATTTTACATCTGTTTCATTTTTCAGATGAATTCCTTGGATTTTTACACTCTCAGAAATTTGGGTAATGTTTGTTGCCTCAATTTAACTTGGTTAAATTTAAATTAACTTCATAATAGTTGTAGATGTTGCTGCACCTTTGGTAATGTGACTTGACAAGTTTACCCCTTCCCCCTCAAATATAAAGCTGGAGCTGAAAGCCTCTGAGCCTGGCTTTGCTTTGCAGCAATATTTCTGTGCAACAACCAGTGTGACATAGTAGCTCAGTGTCAAAGTAGGCTGAAGAATTCTGGACATCTCAACTCTTTCCATAGAACAACTGCTTTTCCCCTCTTTTTGCCTTTCTATTCTTGTTAAGGTTCTCTTGATACCCTGACTCAGGCCTTTTTGTTCTTCCATTGTCTCGAGGATTCTTGTCAAGTGGATGCTTATCTTCAGCTCTTTTCTATTTGGTTGGTATTTTATTCTTGACAGCCTGTTTGACTCTGTAGGGTTAGTTTAACAGCAGTGACTAACTCTGAAGAGTCTAGTAGTAGTGTACAGAAATTATGATGATGCACTTCTAAAATGGAGAAGGCCAGTCATAACAACAGGATTGAGTGAAGAGTCTGTGCTTCCAGTGTCCTGGATATCCACTGTGAGGCACCAGGTCAGAGGTGCATTCTGGATGACAGTGTACACTCTGGTGCAGAGGAGAAAGACCGTGGTGGAAACCCCCAAAACTAGGACATTGATGTAGAATATCTTAGTATTAATACCATGTCTAATTTACTATTGATCAATAATAACAAAATGGTTGCAAAAACAAATTTTCAGAGCTTGGAAAATAGATATATGTGCAGTTTAACGTACCTCCGACTTCCATAGTGCACAGTTGTAGGCAAAACCCGTGCTGTTTTAAAGAAGTAACATTGTCTACTTGGACAATCTGCTTCTTTCTCTCACCTATTCTAGCACTTAAAGTCTTCTGTACAGAAGTGGCCATGTCTGTAATCTGTTGGTTTTGTTGTTGTTGTTGTTGTTTTTCGTGACATAAGTATTGCCATTCTAACTTTCCAGATAGTCCTTAGGTCACAGGTCTTTCTATGATTGGAGACTATCCTGGTCCTGAAAGTTTGCCCTTGCTATAAAAATTACATGTACTGTTAAGTGGGTTTTGAGAACCAAATTGGGGTACATGAAAGGAACTGGTATATGGGGGCTTTTTTAGGCTTCTGTAAAACAACTTTGGAAAGCAGGTTAATGATCATAGATCTTTTGGCAACTTAAGCTTACTGTGGCATTTTACTCATGAACACTTATAGACTCAGAGGTTGAGAACCAGTTTGTCTAATGAAAGTGGCATATTCTGAGGTTCTGTGGTTTCTCTGCATGGACAGTTAGTTCTCCTAGCTCAATATAATCTAGCTGGAAATATTTGTTAGGTTAATCACAGCACATTTTGTCTTAGCTGACTACAGCTGTATGTAGTCTAGGCTTCTCATTGTTTAGTTGTTAGTCAAAAGTTTGAATGAGAATATCATGTCTTCTGAGCGCAGGATGCACAATTGATAGCTGGCATGTTTAGGGTGTGTTATAAAAACAGGAACTGTCACAGTAATGCATTTAATTTTTGACTGAGGAATGGGATGAAGTAGATGATTGCTTGAGTTCCTTTCCAGCTGTTTGTTCCTGTATTTTCTAAAATATGGTTTTTTGTGTATATATACAACATAACATGTATTGTCATGATTTTACATCTTATTTGTACTTTTAGTTTTGTGGCTCTTTTTATGAATGTGTTACTGATGTGATTAAGTAGATGGAATTTGTCAATAGAAATCAAGGACTAAAGAAATACAGAGGTCATTAATACCTGTTGCTTTAGCTAAAGCTTCTGCTTTGTAATGAATTTTTCCCATAGTCTAATGAATGACGTTCAGGCTAACAGTGTAAAAAAAACAACAACAAACAAACCCCTAAACGAGCAAAAACACCACAAAAAACCCCACCAAACAGAAAAAAAAACCCCAAAATGATGTAATGTACATCCATGCTTCTAGATTTAAAAAAAGAACACTGGCTTCTGTACCTTACTAATGATCAAAATCATGTTGTGCAAAATATCTAAACTAAAAGAATGGCACATTGTTCCTCAAAGTTACATGGAAAAATAGGACATTGTAAAAATAATTCTGGAAGTAAAATATCCGGATAACTGTATTACGTTACCGTATTCTTTATTACGTTAAAGGGGAATACATATAGTATCATACCAAAGACCTCTAAAGATATAAACCAAAAGGAATATTGTATTTCATATGAAATATAAATAAGCAACACAGCTGCCACTAATAACAGTGGAGTCGAACAATTCATTTTCAGAAATTTTCAGTTCTAAAAATGATTGCATAAAGTATTTACTGATTATAATGATTGGAACAAGTGGGACTATGTTCTTTTGGGTATTTTGTTTCTCAAATGGCTTTATTTTCCTTTCAGAGGAGAGTAAAGAGCATGAAATTTGCTGTGAACTTTAGAAATCCATTTCTGTTGTTGCTCTATGTTGGTTGGTTTGCTGGCTCTGCATGAGAGAGGTTTTTTTTTTTTTTTTTTTTTCTTTCTCTGATTGCTAATGCTGGGACATGTTTCTGTTTTGATGAGCTATAATGCTTCCTCTTTCTGAAGTGGGGAGGGCATTTCTGTATTTTCTTATAGGTATAAATAACCACATCTTCAACAGCACAACACATGACAGTTGGTAAAATTTGAAATTTTTCTAGCAAATCCACCAAGGTGAAAGCAAACTGGGTTTTCCAAACTGTTTTAAGGGAAAGGACTGCTGCATTTCTGCAAGTGTCTTTTGTCTTCATATGCATTTTTAACAATGACAGAAAATTGCCTGGGGATTTGTAAGGCAAATGCAACATGTAGAATTCTGACTTCAGGGGTCTGGGGTTTTTGTTGGTGTAGGTTTTCTTTTAATTATTTATTTATTTTTGTTGTTTTTATTTTTTTCGTGCTGTTGTTAGTTTGTGCTGTTCTTTTTTTGTTTGTTTGTTTTACCATTTGCATAATTCTGTTGAACCTGTGAATGTCTGTGCCCTGTAGGCAGTGAACTTATAAATGAAAAAAAGGAAGGGGAAAAAAAAAGACAAACTAAACCGAGCTGAATTAAGTACTCCTTTTAGACTGTGCATTTGGATTGCAGCTGCCAACTACTTAGAAAGCTTACCATTGTTGCATCCAACTTGCATTTCATATGCTTGACTCTTCTAACGTTAATAGTACCCTCCATCTTAAATTCCAATGTGTCAAAGGGATTATCTCTATTGTGTCTTCATATTAATCACGACTGTAGTTTTTTACTTTATATAGGCATACACAACTGTATGTTGCTTTAGTGCAAAACTTGCCATCCACAAAAATAATTTTTCTGTGCCAGTGAGAAGAGTTACCCCTAAAGTATCTCTTGGGCTTGGATATAAATTTATTTAAATTAATTAGGAATAGCTATTTTATTTTTTTTATATAAGGACAAATTTTTATCACAATAACATATTATTGCAAGGGTGATTGCATTCATAATTTCTTTCCATAAGTTACAGTTAGAGATCTCTTGCAATTGCATTTTCTTTATAGATCTGAATTATCTAGCATTCTGTCAGTCCAGCTATTTCCATATGAATATCTAAACTCATTAGAATGATATCCAAAGCATGGGATGCTGCATTATTGTACTGTTTAATAAGCGTTTTGGCTGCTTCTCACAGCAATGCTATAGGCTGGTTTTCTCTTTTTTTGCAGATCACTGCCATTGTTTGCTGAGTGCCCATGTGGGAGCACTTTTTGTGATCTAGTGCTTTTGCTTGTATAATACTGATTCAGAAAAACAGCCTGCTTAGAGAGAAACATTAATTAGGTGCAAAGGTGACGTTATTCCATGGTTTGGGGGTGGGGGGAAGCACACCAAATAAATTATCTCCTATTTGTACAATGTTTTATGGTTGTCAGCTGTCTGTTGCCAGAGAACCCCAGTGGAGTTAAATGCTTGTGACACCTTGCCCAGTAAAGGTATAGTAAAAGCCTGTTATGGAACCTCCTTTGTGACAACCTGTACTAGTTTATATTAGCTTAACCAATCACTTTTTTCTGTGCTTGGCAAAATTTGTTAAATTAATTCAGTTGCAATTAGCAGATTTATGGGAAAGTACCCTGTTATCCTTTAATTGGAGAGCATAAAACTACAAACTGAATCTGCTGGTTCTATTTGTGTAATAGGCAATCTATCTACGACAAGGTTTGATCGATGGAGTCGTATGATGCCCTTGCCTTGTTTTATATTGGCTGTCAGCTCTTAACTGGGACTGAAGTATCTGGGTAACAAAAATTGATATAATGACTTAATGCGCCTTATTCTCTTTGAGCTACATCAGTTTAGAGCACTTCTGAGAGAAAAATGTCTGGAAAATATCAGGGAGTCATTTATCAACCTGTTTTCATTAGCATACTGCCTAGCACTGGCAAGGATTTGAATAAAAAAAAAGCAGGATGGTACAATTTATTTCAGGTCTCATATTTCTTGGATGAAAGGAGACGGAAAACATAGAAAGATGCATTTCTTGCTGATTTTTCCTAAATAAAAGATGTGCAAAAACATATCTTCAGTTTGATTGATAATAGCACAAGAAGCATATGAAGATAATCAGAAAATTAGCAACATCTTACTGCATCTTGCTCAGTTATTTGAGTTACACTACAGAATAAACCCCATGTCTTATATGTGTACATAGGAAAATTTGTGTGTGGGAATGGTAGGGGGTTGTCAGCATAGAGGGCTTTACAAAAAATGTAAGATGTGATCCCTTTAAAGATAGAGCTGTTAAGCTATTCAAGAGTCTGCTAAAAGTGAAGTGAAATAGGTACCAATCAAAATGTTTGTATAGTGGGCAAAATGTGTGCACTGTATCAAGTCATTTGTCCTACCTACTCTGTGATGCTAACCAGAAGGGGTAATAATAACTGAAAAGCAGTTGTGTGCAAGTAAGTCTTTTTTTGCATGAAATTTTTATGCATCAGTCAGACTGCATACAGTGTGCCTAATGTATAAAATAAATTGGTGTATAAATCAGATTATGAGCAGGATGTAGGCAAGTCTGCATTCGCACACAGGAATCAAATGTGGGCACGGGAAATTCCCATTTTAACTTCTATCATGGTGATTTAT